TAGGTTAAAACAGGGCCATGACGTGATCTGCACCGTAAAATCAGGGTTGTTCTGACTCTTATGCAGAAGCAAAGAGATCAGTTAGCCTAGTACTGGAGGCGTGGACTAGAGTGGGAGCAGCCATGATGGGGAGGATGTGTTTTTGGAGGTAGAAATGAGAGGTGGGGACTCAGTGACAGGGAAGTAATCTGGCATGATTCCTTTTTTTTTTTGCTTAGCAAGTATCATGACTGCTGGTATTGTGCATTCAATTATGTTCCCCTGCCAGGGAATGGGGTGTGTGTGTGTGTGTGTGTGTGTGCGCGCGCGCGCGTGTCCTTCCCACAGTGTTTCTTAATTTCTCAGAGACTCACTGTTGACTCATCTATACTTCACCCATGTGTGGTTGTGCCCTCTGCAGAGATTGCTAATCAGTCACCCTATGATCTGGCATGCTTGTAGACATGATTTGTTTATCTGCCTCAATGTTTCAGAAAGTGACAGATATCAGGCCATTACACGTATAAATTCAGATTCCCAGCTTCTTTTGAAAAATGCCAGAAGTCCTAGCAACAATGGGCTGGAATCCCCACATGCCACCGTGAGCTGGAACTAAGCACTGGCGGTTTCTTTTAGCCTTGAGAGCCGGCTGATTCTCCAGGCATGGTGGGGCCCGTCAGCTTTCCTTCATTCTGTGGTACCATCACGTGTACATGTCACATGTATTTGCAGCCCCTGCCCTCCCACAGACCCCAGCTGCTCCTCATGCATTGTGATGACATTTACTTCTGTCCCCTGACACTTATATCCAGGAGTGTCAGTGTTCCAGCTGCAGGGATTAATGCAGGTCCCTGTTGTCACAATTGTGGTTTTAGAACTGCTGTTATGAGAGTGCAAAGAAGTACAGGGAAAAAGGGGGGAGAGGGGGGGGGCAGCCAAAGCCAGTCACCTGCAGTGTCTGTCATCTGGACTCATATTATATTGCCTTTTTATTTTTTAAGTTTTAATGTAGCCCGAGGCTTATCTGCCCTCTTAAGTTCAAGACTGTTCATTTGTATTACTCTGTGTTTATTGGAAAACTATGGAAATCCTCTCTTGTGGAATGGGGAGGGTGGCATGAATTTGGCATTTCTGCAGGACCAGGCACAAAGGAGGAATTCACCAAATATTTGTCTGATTGAATTATTAAACTGTATTCTCCCTCTCAGAGAAATCTCTGCAAATAAGTCTTTGCAAAGAATTAAAAATCTAAATAAGAGCTTAACTGTCAGGATGAATCAGTGTTTTTTTTTAAATTAAATGTTGACTTCTGACATTTTCAGACTGTTGCTCAGGGTGGATCCCATGGTCAGAGCCTATGATACCAAAGCACCAGATATGCTTTAAAGCTGTGTGCTCTGGAAAAAAATAGTCTTCATTTAGAGTTCATATAAATGCGATGTGCACGTATCTTATTGACTTCTTTGGGAAGTCGTTGACTACAACCCTTTCTGTTCTGCCCCACTCCCACCTAACAGATTAGATCTTTCCTGCCCTGTGTGTTACAGCCCTGTGCCCTCATAATTTTAATAGCAGTTTAACACAGACTGTGAGAACATGGATTTGGAACCGAATTTTGTTGTGTTCGATCCTGGTTCTGCCACTCACTTGTTGAAGAACATTTTACGTTTCCACTCTGGTTTTGGATGGCCTGTGAGCTAAGAATGGTTTTTATGTTTTTAGATGGTTGCAAAAAATCAAAAGAAGAATAATAGTTTGTGACATATGGACATGTTATGAAATTCAAATGTCAGAGCCCACAAATAAAGTTTTATTGGAACACAGTCATTCTGATCAGCGTATTTGTTTATGTAACGTCTGTGACTGCTTTCAAGTTACAACAGGGTAGAGTAGTTTCAAAGAGTAATTTCAGTAGAGCCCACCTGGCCAGCAACGCCTAAACTTAGGTGCTCTCTGAGCCTTTACAAAAGTTTTCTGACTGCCGCTCTAGGGCGCAAAGCATGAATCACCACACCTACAGGTGTTACTGTCCCGGGTTGTGGGTGGAACTTGCTCTTTGGCACAGACTGGTTCTTTCTGTTCATCTCTGGGACGTTCCTAAGTTGTATTTGGCAGGGATATGTAGCATTTGGTAGTGATTGGCCATGCGTGTGGTGCTACTGTGTTTTCTGTGTAAATTTTAAATCGCAGTTTTGGATTTGTATGAGCCCAGGTAACTTCCTTCACTCTGTCAGGGCGGAGATTCACAGGCTGGCTGTGTTTTCCTCTCTTTGGCCATCCTGAAGGTGTATGTGGAGGGTACCAGCTGGGAGTACATCCTGAGAACACCTCCTCTAGGAGTGGGGTGGGAGAGTGTTGGGAGAAGGGGACACAGCATGAAATACATTTTTTACTGATTGTCATCAATATTTATCTGAAATTTTGAAACAGAATGAAGGAAGATTTGTTGTTACTGTAGGGTTTTTGCTTTTGTTTTCAAAGAAAATAAAGTCATTGGTTATCCTTGCATGAGTGATGACTGACTTCTAGAAAGACAGGACTGTGTCTCGGTCATCTTTGTTTCAACTGAATGCTCCACAGGGAGACTTTCTCCAAATTTGTTGCTCAGTAAACAAGTGAAAGAGTGTCTCATCCAGAAAGAATGCATGCTCCCTCTTACTGCCTCTTTCCTACTTCACCTTTGAGCAGTGGCAGAGCTTAAGGAGCAACCCAGTGAGTCTGCATTACGCCCTGTCTCATGGCGCATACCTGAAGCACAGGTGTGCTCCTGTAGCATCACGTTCATTATTTTTGAATGGGAGGTATCCCTACTGCTTGTCATATTAGTGAATTCAGGACTGGGAAGGTCTTTCTCTATGAACTGACACCAACATGGACTCGGGTTCACAGCCTGTTTTTACAGTCCTTTGTCGGATGAAGGAGTGCTTATTCATTTTATTCATCTTTTCAGATAGCATTGAAATTTTATGGCACCTTTATGACAGTAGAAATATTAAAGTTGTGCTAGTGACATGAATGATGATATCAGCTATTTATTGAGCGTCTGTCATTCTAGTTTTTAATAGATGAGCAAATAGACACAGAAAGGCCAAGTGTGTTGCCCAAAGTGATATTGCAGGTAAGAGGCGTCTTGTGTGCAGCGAGGTCATTGATGGGCATTCCTGATTCTTTGTAATATGCACTAATCTTTACATGGACTTTATTTTACATTCTGCTGTTTTATGCTATTTTGTTTATTTTTAGAAAATGGATAATGGATTTGAGAAGGGTTAAATGCTGCCTGGACATTATTTAGCTGTCCTTGTCATCATCAGTGTTTCTTAAGATCCTTTCTGTGCTTAGATAGCCCCATTTGCGTCTCCCATGAACTTGACCTCTATTCTTGTCTTTTCGCTCTAAGACCAGAGCTGGTCAGATCTCTCTGAAAGGGAATGTGGTTATGTGGTGGCTGTTTTCTGAAGTGGTGCTTGGTTGGTTTAGAGAGGGGAAGGCCAGAGGCAGCAGATGACCAGGGCCACTTGCCCCTGTGCTTTCATGGACAGCAGGTAGGGAAGTGTCCCTTTGCTCTGCCTCCTGAAGGACTTCTGCCTCCGGAACATGTCTCCCACATCATGTGAATCTGTTATTGCAATCTGTGGAGAGAATCTGTGTGTCCCTGATACCATCGCTGCTCACGAAAATGGCAACCGGGAAGAGAAAAGCAGCTTTGTTTCTGATACAAATAAGTTATAGTTTATTCTTTACTGAGTCTGTGATGAAAACTTTACCATACTTCCCCTCATTTAGAATATATGGACTATGGAAAAGCCACATGTTAGAAATCATTAGCTGACTATATATTATACTTAATTAAAAACGCAATGAATCAGGAGGAGAGGAAAAGAAGAAATAAATGCCAAACTTCAGGAAACCTCAGGATGGCTCCCTTTCCCCTCCTCCATTTCAAGCTCAGAGTAAAATTTTGCTTCATATGACTATTTCTGTTTTTTTATAAAGTGAGAAGGGAAGAAGATAAAATAGTTATTGGTTATAAAATGTGTTTATTATCTACAGGACCTAGGACTATTAATCTCTGTGGAGATTTCATATTGGAAGGGAATAATTTGATATAACATAAGGATACAATATTTATTACTTTGTGCTTTATAGTTTTCTGGACATTTTCACATAGTATTAATTATTCGATCTTTGCTATAACCTGTGATTTGAAAAGAGGTTAAGTAGCTGATTTAGGTTCTCCAGTAAATTAATGGCCAAACTACAGTGAAAACTCAGCTTCCTGATTTTCTGTGAGGTAATTGGCCTGTTGCACATAACCGTCAGATGTCACACACACAGACAGGTCAGTGTCTGCCTGGAAGGAGTGTGATCTTCTGGTTTCAGACACTAGAGTATGTTTATCGGTGGAAGCTGATGCTATTTATCGGTCAGGGATGAAAGTTTAAGAGTTCTATAAGCTTTGTCATTCAAAATACTGGACTGGGTACTGGGCTTCGGCACAGAGCCCAAAGTGTCTTAATCATTCAGAAATTAATAGCTAGAAATATAGACCTAGCACCAGAGAGCTGAAATTGATGATGAAATGACCTGCTTCCATAATGGAAGTGTAGAAAGACATCATCATACCATGAATGTCAAGGGCAGTTATGGAGTAAGAATCCATACACTTTTCATTGGCCTCTGTACCCAGGTGTCGTTACTCATTTATATTTGTAATACATCTTTTCATCATTTCTTTTCAGGAATGTATTCCATCATCAAGTCGTGTTGACATTAACCATAGTTTTATTTGCTCCCTTTCTAATAAATAATACAATTTAAATCTTTCAGCTTAACACATTTCTTAGGAGATTTCAAAGTTCTCTGTATTTGTACTTGTTCTTTCCATACAAGGCAAACTGGACTAGTCTGCTGATCATCTAGAATTTTTAATTAGAAACAAATGAAACCCTTTATTTGTTTCAGGCATGTATGGAATTTCAGCTACTGAATTAACTGGTGTTTCACTGTTTCTTATATAGAGTGGGAAACCACCCATCAGTGATATGTTCACAGACCTCAAGGATGGAAGGAAGCTATTGGATCTTCTAGAAGGCCTCACAGGAACATCACTGGTGAGAGAATGTTTGAGAACCAGCTTAATGGATTGTCTGTCTCTGATCATTATTGATACCTGAAGACTCGCTGTGGGTACTTGCAATGTAAAGGCTGAAATAGGAATATGAAAAAAGAGTTTTTTAACAAATTCTTTGATAGAGCAATATTTAGGCTTTCTTGAAGGCTCCATTTTTATCAAAGATAAAAATTAACCTTAAACGTTTATTGCTCTCAGACAGCCCAGTAGAGATGTACAAAGAAGAATGGATGTGTAAAGAGGACATAAGGTTTTGAATAGTAGACAGTATAGAGACAAACACAGTAAAATGTTATTTTACAAAAATTGACACAAGGTTGTTAAAAACTGTGACATCTATTTTTATTCAGGTTTTCAGTATTTTCTTTGAGTTTGTTTCTTCATCAAATTCCACTCTGTTATTTTACATGCAAGATACTGTAGTTCCCCACAGAAATAACTCTGCTAATGAAGAGGATACGTTTTGTGGGTACAAACTTGAACACCAGCGGTAGAATTACCATAACAGGCATAGAGAGATGCACTCCCGGAGATGAATCCCTTCCTTGCCAAACTGAGGGTTGTCACACTCTCCCTTTTGCATTCCAGATGGTGGGTAGACCCTGCTGGAGAGGCTGATCCCTCTCAGATAAGATTCCCTGGCCCGTGAGGCAGAAAGAAGCTGCCCCGATCACCTTTCCCCAGGTGGCGATTCCTGCCTTCCCAGTGGGCCCTTGTAATGCTAGCTGGAACCTGGGATAGAGCTTCTGAATCGCCTCCTTCTCTGTCCATACCAGTGCAGTATGGGAGTGACATGACTTCTAAATCTCTCTGCATCCAGACCGATTTAGATAAAAGAAGCTTGACCCCCAAACTTTTGCACATTAGAATCACCGGGGAAATCTCTAAGTTCCAGACCCTGACCTACACCCCAGACTCACTAAGTCACGGTCTTTGGGGGTGGGGTCAGATAGAGGCATTGGTATTTCTGGAAGCGCCCTGGGAGGTTCCAGTGTACAGACAAGCGAGGGAACTAATATCTTACGATGTTGGTGAGGGAGTTTGCGTTCTGTCGACACTGGCCCCCACATGGCCTGAGAAAGCAGCCAGAGCTGCGGGCACCAATGCTGTTCTCTGCTCGTCTCAGTCAGTGTCTGAGGATGTGGAGGGACTGTCTCGTCTGATTTTGTGTTTTGTTTTCCAGCCAAAGGAACGTGGTTCTACAAGGGTCCATGCTTTAAACAATGTCAACAGAGTGCTGCAGGTTTTACACCAGAACAATGTAAGTTTGTCATGTGACTTTTGGGGGCCTTTGGTGCCCCCCAGTGATTCATTGTGAAAATCATTCATTCCTTCACTCATTCACTGTGAAACCAGCTGCCTGCTCTGTGCATTGGCCTCAACTAATTTTTGGAAATATTTTTCTTACGAGAAGTATTGAACCTTTTCTATGAGTGAAGAAATAGTCATGCGTTTTCTGATTGCTTTATTGATCTAGTGTATAAATCATACATTTGTGAGATTTAGGCTTCCCTGATTCCCTAAAAGGAAATGTCTCTCGTCATGCACTTGCATTGCTCTCCAAAGGTGCCCAAAACCAAAACCCTGGGCTTCTGTGGAGAAATTGTCTTAAAAGTCCCGTTTTCGTGTTCACAGGTGGATTTAGTGAACATCGGAGGAACTGACATCGTAGATGGAAATCACAAACTGACTCTGGGGTTGCTTTGGAGCATCATTCTGCACTGGCAGGTGGGGAATTTTCAGTTACTTCTTAATAGGAATTGGAAATGGATCATTTGTGTATTAGTTTCTTAGGGCCGCCCTCATAAAGTACCACAAACTGAGTGGCTTCCATAACAGAAATTCATTTTCTCACAGTTCTGGAGAAATCTGAGATCAAGATGTCAGCTGGGTTGGTTTCTTCTGAGGCCTCTCTCCTTGGCTTGCACACGTCCGTCTTCTCCGTGTCCTCACATGGTCTTCCCTCTGTGCGTCCATATCCTAATCTGATCTTCTTATACCAAGATACCAGTGATACTGGATTTATCCCCTCCCCGATATGCTCTCAGTTTGCCTTAATTACCTCTTTAAAGACCCTGTCTCCAAATACATTCAGATTATGAGGTACTGGGGGTTAGGACTTCATTCAAAATATGAATTTTGGGGGGAACACAATTCAACTCATAGCAATTTGGAATGGAAGAGACTGATTGCTCCATTTTTCCGGCATAGAAAAATAGTATCGTTTTTTAATATTCAGTTTAAAAATTGACATAATTTTAGTTGAAAAAAATAGCTCAAAGAATTCCCAGATACCTTTGACTCAGATTCCCCAAATATTAACAGTTGTCTATATTTCTTTGTTCTCTCCCTTTTTCTTTGCCTAAATACATCAGTGTGAATTTTCTAAACAAATCTTTATCCTAAAAAGAAGGAATTCTCTTATATAACTGCAATATAATATTAATATCATAACAAAATGCATAATATAATATTAATATTTACAATCCATTTACTATCTTTTTAGTCTTCTTTAACCAGGAATAGTTCCTTCCTTCCTTCCTTCCTTCCTTCCTTCCTTCCTTCCTTCCTTCCTTCCTCCCTCCCTCCCTCCCTCTCTCTCTCTCTCTCTCTCTCTCTCTCTTTTTAAAAATTATTTCTTTCTTTTTTAATTGGGGACAGCGTTTTCTCCACACTCCAAGTCAAGTAGTTGTTTCAATCTAGTTGTGGAGGGCGCAGCTCAGTGGCCCATGTGGGGATCGAACTGGCAACTTTGGTGTTACGAGCACTGCGCTCTAACCAACTGAGCTAACGGGCCGCCCTAGATTCTTTCTTTATGTTTCAAATTTGGAAAGCCATTTTTGAAGAATACTGAACAATTATTTTGTAGGTTGACCCTCCATGTTGGTTTGGCTGATACTTTCTCATGATTAGATTCAATTTACTTATTTTTATCAGGAATGCCACAAAAGTGGTGTTGAGTTCTCAGTGTACCACATCAGGAAGCACCTGATGTCCATTAGATTTCTTCTGGCAGTGTTAATTTTCATCATTTGGGTCATGTACCTGCAGGTGTCTCCACTGTAATGTGACTTGTTGTTAAAAAGTATCTTGTGGGACATACTTAAACTGTAAGCTACTTATCGAATCTTTGTTCATTAATTTTAAGATCCATTCATAATTCTTATCTGACCAGTTACTGTTATGATGCTTGGCAAATTGTGATGTTCTAATTTCATCATTCCTTCTACATTTTATTTTATTACTCGGCTTTCTACTTGTAAGGAACAGCTTTCCCTTATCTCTTGTTTCTTTCTTTCTATCTATCTTTCTATCTATCTATCTATCTATCTATCTATCTATCTACCTACCTACCTACCTACCTATCATCTATCTATCTTCTATTCATCCATCCATCCATCCATCCATCCATACGAACATACATCATATATCAGTGTACAGTCAGGGATTTTTACTTATTTAATAGGGTATAATTTTTTTACTATTATTATTTATTTTGATGTTCATATTGTCCTATATTTGGTCCATGTGATTCATCTTAAATCAGCTCTTGTTTCCTTTTGATATGTCCACATCATTCTTTGAGCACATACTTAAAACACATGTATTACTTTAGACTAATAATGTAAAATATTAGTTCTTGATTATAATTGTTACCGCCGTTAGGAAAGGCACAGCAGTCTTTGATTTTGTAGGCAGTCAAAAGTTCTTCCTTGCATCCTCGTTTTTGTAGAAAATACAAACTAAGTTTTGTTTCTATTAAAAGGTCTTTGTAAATATATAGTATTAAAATATTACTATTTTAGTATTACTTTTTTAGACTATGAAAGTAAAGTAATGTTGTAACCAAACCTAATATAAGTATTGCTTAAGATACAGAAAATACCATGTGTACGAAAGGTGTCAAAATTACCTCCCAATCCTAGTATCCCAAAATAATCCCGGTTAAAAATGCATTTATCTTTCTAGTGTTTAGAGGAAAATTTGACATAAAAGGAATACCAATGACCTTATCCTTAATGGTTAATTAATGTAATAGTCCTTATTCAAGGACTTGATTCCAGTAACTGCTTTAAGTTATGGGCAGGCATGGTTTCTCTTACACAGGTCAAGGATGTCATGAAGGATATCATGTCAGACCTGCAGCAGACGAACAGCGAGAAGATCCTGCTGAGCTGGGTGCGCCAGTCCACCAGGCCGTACAGCCAGGTCAATGTCCTGAACTTCACCACCAGCTGGACGGATGGGCTCGCCTTCAACGCAGTGCTCCACCGACATAAGTGAGACATGACTCGACTCAGACGTGGGCTTTCCAAATTTGTGTCTCCCTCTCTGCTCCTCCCTTACTACTTCTCCCAAAGCCCTTTGCCCACTACCAGCACTCTCCTCTCTGCACACGCTCTACCAGAACATTAAGAAAAGAAAGATCATGGAAGAAAACCCATCACGCCTTTATTTCTGTAGGACTTGCAGCGTCTATGGTTCCTTCTACATCTTTATGAGTTAAACACTATAAAATGATCCACACAGTTCAATCCCACTCATTCAGCATTAAGCAGTAATATGTCTAAAGAATTGTGTTAGTTTTCAATCTCATACCAAAAGGAAAGTTCTCTAAATTTAATGTAATCCCAATTAAATATAGAAAATGATTTTCTTTCATGAACCTGGTAAACAGATTCTAATTATATGATAGACCAAAGGTCCTAGAAGAATCAGTACACTCATGAAGAAGAAGAACCAGGCTGAAGTAATTCTCAAACAGAAACCAAAACTAATTATGCAACTGTATTAATTAAGACTATGTAGTACTATGAATACACTAATGTAACTATAGGCTGAACCATATGAAGTTGTTAATATTTGACTCTATTTGACATATAAGAATGGCAGTTTCATATACTTCAAGCTAACAGAATAAAGAGCTCAGATAGCTCTATCCTGACATACAACTGAACCGATATTTTCGATTAATAGATGGTATGGCACAATTGGCTACCCGTAAGTAAATAATTAAATTGCATCTTTTCCTCACCATACCTACAAATAAATTTCAGATGAAGCAAGGATTTCAATGTGAAGGCAAAATTTATTATATGTTTTTTTACTATTTTAAATTATTTATTATATCAAGTTTTGTTTCCTATGTGTTCTTTGCTGGTCTATAAAAATATAGTTGACTTTCCTACAGCTTAGATCTGGAAGCTTGTTAAATTTTTACAAATTTTAAATTTGTGTCTGTAGACTAAAACAAATTTTTTTAACAGGCTGTCCATGAATTATAATAGTTTTTTTTCTCTTTTCTTCTCATTTCTTTTCCCTTCATTTGTATCTTGTCCTTCAATACAATGTTGATTTCAATTGGTAATAACGAGCAGAAAGTTTCCTTCTTGATAATGAAGGGAGTGATTTTATTGTTATAGCATAAGAATGACATTTGCTGTGGCTTTTTTGATATCCTTTTTATCTGGTTAAACAACCCCCAAACCCAGTCTTCTGTCACTTCTCCTTTATCAGTTTAGGGAGGTTACCCTTTGTTCCTAGTTGGTTAAGAGATATTGTCATAAAACTTGAATGTTAGCCAAAACTTTTTTTCGTTGATTACTTAATTGATTTAATAAGTATGTGTGCAGTGCCTTCTCTGTGTTAGGCACAGGACGTACACAGAGAATAAAACAGGCAAAAATCCCTGTCTGAGTTTACGTTCAAACAGAGGGGAGCAGACAATAAATAATATTAATTAAAAAAAATAAAATGTGAGTTGTATAGCATAAAGAAGTGGTAAACATGCTGAAGCAAAATATATCTGGCAAGAGGGGAGGAGGTACCTGGCTTGTGGAAGGCCAGTGGGTGCAGTGCCATGAGTAGGGGGAATAATAGGAGATGAAGTCAGAGAGGGAACTGGGGTGGGAGTGGAAGGGACCAAATCCCAGAAGATAGGTTAGGTGGGTCTAAGATGCAAGAACAGATACAGTGAAAAAAAAAATCAACTTTTGAGTAAGTCAAAGCAACAGTAATGTCCAGTTTGTGGGATTAAAAGAAAATCAGGATAAAAATCAAATACTAGACAATAGTAATATGGAGGAGGGTGACTGCAGGAGAATTCTCTCAGGTCCTTTGTTTTAGGAGTATCCTGTGAGCATATTAAAGCTGGATTTTCTACTCTGCTAATCTTGGTGTTTTAATTGGAGAATTAGTCCATTAACATTGATTGTGATAATTGATGTATTTAGGTTCATTTTTACCAATTCTTTTGAGCTTTTCATTTCTCTTACCTTTTCTGTATCTTTTTTCTTTCTTTTCTTATATTGGCAGGTCCCTCCCCCGCCCCCCCCTTTGTTCTTTTACTATTTGGGAAATATTATATACTGTTTCTAGTCTTTTAGTGATTACTCCAGAAATTTTAAGTGGCATGTTTAACTGACACAAAAACTTAGAATGTTTCATCTGTTGTTTTCATATTTATAAGTTACTTTAAAATATTATATATTTGACAAGTCTTTGAGATATAAAATTCAGCTTTTAATTTAAACTCACAAATAAAATCCAAAACTGAAATGTATTAGATTATAAGAATGACCACTGTGTTTCCACATATTTCATCTTCATTGCATTTTATTTGCATGGTGATATTTCAGACCTGATCTCTTCAGCTGGGATAGAGTTGTCAAAATGTCCCCAATTGAGAGACTTGAACATGCCTTCAGCAAGGCTCAAAATTATTTGGGAATTGAAAAGCTGTTGGATCCGGAAGGTACTGTTCAGTATTTAGTTTCAACCTTGATTTTCCTTTACAATTTTGAATACTTGAAAATCAGTGTTTTTCTTTTTAGGAGGAACTATGAGAATTGAATAGTGTTTTTCGTTTTGAAGCATGGTGCAAGTCGTTTTATTGCAGACAAGTTATTAGTACTTTTGTACCTAACAATTTGTAGGATCCTTTAGGAAGAAATTGAATTACATCATTGGAGAATAGCTATTCGATACCAGTATAAGATTTAAAGTTTTAGGAAAATGTAATTATTGGATAAACAATTCAGTATTTGGTTTACTTCATCAAAATGCATTTTTATGTAAGCTTTTTGCATATGATATGAAAATTTTAGTTACAAGTGTTGTGGAGTTGAAGTCTAGACTTATTTTCATTATAATATAAATAAAATCGGTGTCATTATCTTAAATGGTAGCTTGTCTCTGAGCCTTTGGGGGAAGCTTTTAGGGAAGAATTTTAAGACATGGGATACTGAACAAAGATAAGTAACTGTCTTTGCCTATGTCTCACATATGAAATAGAAACTTACTGAGCTATGTATTGCCAAGATTATATAAATGTATTATCTATGGGTACTAAGGATTTTATATCTACTATTGAGCAATTCACATATTTTTGGACATCTAATTTAAGCCGTTCCTTATTTTCTTCCACTTTCAGACGTTGCTGTTCAGCTTCCTGACAAGAAATCCATAATTATGTATTTAACGTCTTTGTTTGAGGTGCTACCTCAGCAAGTCACTATAGATGCCATCCGTGAAGTAGAGACACTCCCAAGGAAATACAAGAAAGAATGTGAAGAAGGAGAAATTAATATACAGGTACAAGTAAATTTTTATTAAAATGTTTGACTTGCCATATTTCTTTTCTCTTAGGTACTAGATAAAAATACTTCTAGGGGATTTTGTTTCTTGCCTGAGAACATCTTGGTTTGTCAGCTTACATTAGCCTCAGAAGTTCAGTTTATCAGTTAGCACACTGTCACTTGTCACATGCATGTAATGGAAAACCATGGCTCAACTGATTTTATTAAGAAGGAAAATATATTATTTCACACAATAAAGCTGGAGTTAGTTAGGGTGCAGGGCTGTGATCATACTGCTGCTTCATGACATGCTTAAGAACTGAAGTTTTTCTATCATTTGGTCGCCATCTTTTATTACTGTCATCATGTGCTGAAGATGGTTTTTCTCATGTCAGCCTAGCTTTCTTCTAAGTACTAATTTTCTTTTTGCCTCTAACAAAAGGATTTTTACCGTTATGTTTTCACAAGGGCTATCAAAATACAAGCTTTATTTTCCCTTTCATTTAGGAGAAATAATTGACAATATGTTACTTAGTGAGTTTTTCACTTGAAGGCTTACAATGGTTTCTTTCACTCATTATGATATAAATGAGTTTTTTTTTCTTTTTTCCAAGAGATATAAAGTCTAAAGTCATGAACTTTTCTTTCTGAATTATCCTGCCTTGAATCAATCCATATAATTCTGTTTTAGTCTAATTAGTCCTCTTAACTCATAAAATGAGAGAACCTTAACAGTTGAGTGAGACCTTAAAAAGTATTTGGTCTAACACTTTAGCAACCAAGAAAGATACACATGAATTTCAGAACATGAAATACATTTTAGAGAGGCTGAAAGCATGGGTGTTGAAGCTTAAATTTTACCCCTGTTCATACTTGTTTTGGGTTGGTTACTTCCCTTGTCAACCACAGTTTCATCTGTAAAATTTGGATAAAACTACCCACTTCATAAAGATAATGAATTCAAAGTTTCTAAAATAATATTAACAAGCACTCAGTAAGCAGCAGCTATTATTATTATAATATTCCCTTCTCAGTTTGTTTTGGTGTTATCATTCATTCTCACTTAACAAGTTCCTTTTAAAAAATGTTACTTAATTCTCATATAATGATAATGATCTTGAATTGGCGTAACTTCTCTTTTTCTTTCTCCAAGGTTCAGGAAACGTATTATTTAGGATTTCTTGGGGGGTAGTAGGTACCAGTCCTTTTAATTTGCTCATTTCAAAAATAGCATGATTTATAGAAAAAAAAACCCCAAAAAACCTTATTGAGGGAAAGAGGGCAAGAGAGAGCCAGATTGTGAACCTAGGGCTCTTTTTAGTAGTTTTGAAAATCAAAAGATGCTGAGGAAAAGCTGTAAGTTTTTTGTTTTTTTTTCAAAGATTTTATTGGGGAATTAGGGGAGGGGAACAGTGCTGGGGAATCGGGGGAAGGGGAACAGACAAGTTGCTGTTGTTTTTTGTTCAGTCTAGTTGTGGAGGACGTCGCTTCACTGGCCCAAGCTGGCACCATCATTGCGCTCTTCCCGGGTGAGGCAGATCAGTCGCCGGCTTCTGGACGGCCGCTTATGGCGGCTGCTGGCCGCTCACGCTGGCTGCCAGCTGCACATGGTAGCTTATGGCAACCCACTGCAGCAGGGGACTGCAGCCTATGCCGTTGCCGGCGACTCACGGCAGCCCAGCTCCAGGTCGAGCTGTTGTTAAGCATCTTAGCTGTAGAGGGCAGTGTCACTGGCCCTCATATGTGGGATCCGAACCGGGGCCCTCTGGCATCCCAAGCCAGTTCTTAACCAACGTGCCACTCGGCCTGCCCTGTAATTTTTTATAATTGACTAAAAAAATGCTGAGACCATTTCCCTCTAGTAGTATAGTTATTACCCTGCATTAACGATGCACCTTTTAAGTGGCTCAGAAAACCTTCTGAGTTTGCTTTTTGGTTTCAGAATCACGTCTTTATTGGATGGGGTTCCTTTTGTTAGAAAGCTGGAGTATATTACTTCTTATAGTTTAAGGCCATTGTCTCTTCAAAAGGAAAATTTCATTTTCCTTTCATGATGGATGTGCAGTTAAAATGAGTACTTCTGTTTAGGGCTCAGTGTGGCATGATAAGAATTGCAGAATCCTTTGCCTTTGCCGTTTGATGAGGAGCAAGTGTATTAACATCAACCTCTTCATTTGCATGCTTTCCATTAGTGCCTTAGAGATTGAATTAAGTTAATTGAAGAAATAAATGTGGTCAAGTTTTAATCATCTCCTCTGACAGAGCTTGCCATCTGCTACTTTGCAAGGAGCACTTAACTAATAGCTGGGCCTCTTCTCTTGCTCTTTCTACAAACGGTGCTGTAGAGGGTTAGGTGGTCAGCAAATAATGCCTGCATTTCTCTTTAAATGAATCTCTCACTCTAAAGTTTCCTCTTGTGTTTTAATTCCTCCCATCTGAACATTTGCATTTAGATCATTCCTTTCATCTCCTGCCTCACAGATCCTAGTGTTTATCTCAGTGACCTTTGGCTGGCTACTCACTAACTTGCCTAGCTCTCAGATATCCTCGTTAGGGCATAGAGGTTTGGTACTAAGTGGTCTCCAGGGTTATTTTGAGTCTACAGTTTCAGAATTTAAGGTCCAGAACTTAACTCATTTTCCCTTCGCTGTCTTGGGCACCATCTATTTCCTGATTATCCAGTGTTTCATCTGTGTGCTCACTGATTCATAGTTTTAGCCCCTGCCTACAGTTTACTGGGTCTGTTTGTTTCTTCCTCCAAAATGTCTCTGGGGTGTGTTTTCTTTCTGTTCCAGCCTTCATGCTCACTAAAGACCTAATCTTGTCTTGTAGTTTACAAGACCCAGCCTACCTCCGCGATACATCCCAGGCCACTGCACTGCAGTCACGGTGGACTTTTTCGTCTCCTTCCCCAAGATTCTTGTACATGTGGGTTCCTCTCTGTGAAATGCTCCTCCTCCCACTAACTGCATGGCAAGCTTCCCATTGTCCCCCAGTTTCAATGGAACTTTTTCAGAAAAGTCTTCCCTGATTAACCTATTGAAACCCAACCCTCCACACACTTACACACTCACAATCACTCACTCAGTTTCTTGCTGTCACAGCGTTTTTGTCAACTATGTTAAGAATTTTAAATTGTATCCTAAGAGCATTGAGAAAGCCGTGAAACATTTTAAGTGGGGAGGTCTTAGGAAGTGATTACATTTTCCAGAGATGATTCTGGCAGCTGTGTCAGAAGTGGATTGTAGAGGCAGGAGTGTGGGTGGCGATGGAAAGTAAGACCCCAGTTAGCAGGCTATTGTCCTGAGGACAGATGGTGGTGGTTGTGGAGATGGGAAGGTCTGGATGGATTGGAGATTCAGTTTGAAGGTAGGAATTGCTTACATATTAAATGTGGGAGGTGAAAGAAAGAGAAACCAAGGCTGGCTCCCAGGTTTTTAGCTGGAGGTGGTAAGTGCACGAAGGAGCCACTTACTAAAATGGGAAAGCCTGAGGAGGAACAGGTTTGGGGGGGGAAATAAAGGGTAAATAGAGACTGATTTGATATGCCCATGACATTGAAACGAAGATGTTAATGTAGTTGGACAGAGGAGTTAGGAGTTTGGGATCAGGAATATAAAAGCAAATGTCTGCAGGATCTAGATGGTTCTTTAAATCCAGTGGGAATGAATGAGACCACTCAAAGTATACAGAGAGATGAAGAAAGGGCCCAAGACTTAATTTTGAGGAGATTCATTACTTACAGGTTGGCAAATGCTATTGAACCAAGAGGAAATCCGATGTGGTGTTACTGAGCGGGGAAGAGCTTCAAGAGGGTGGGGCGTGGCCAGCCAGGTGGAATGCTGGGAACTGAGAAACAGAGGGTGACCAGATCTCTGGGTTTGCTTGGAACGGTTCTGGTGTATGTGTGTTTCCCTAGCACTGTTTTTATAAAAAAAGTTCTAGGTTGTTGGTTAGTTACATAGTCTCCCTGAAGATGAAGCTAGAAACGTGGCTTTGTCAGTGGGAAGGTGATTGGTGACATCAGCAAAAGCCTTTCCAGTTGAGTGGTGGGGCTCCAGATCCAAATCTGAAAGGGAATGTTAACTAACTGTAGCTGTTACGTACATGAGTGTTTCTTATATTGTTCTTTATGTATTTTTGTATGTTTGAAATACATAAAAACTGTGGATGATAGGCTGTAGGAAATTTTTTAAAATTTATTTTTTATTATTATTAGTTTCAGGTGTACAAAACAATGCAATAGTTATCCTTTTTACCCCTCACAAAGTAACAGCCCCCCTCCCCCATCTACTGCCCTCCCACCCCCAATATCATGCTTATCACAATTCCATTGACTTCATTCCCACACTCTACTCCATGTCCCGAGACTATATGTATATATAATTATAGTTGACATATAATATTATTCAACATCAGCTTCAGAAATACAGTGCAGTGGTCAGGCCTCTACACCGACTATGAAGTGGTCTCCCTAACAAGACATGAGTCCATCTGTCCCCCTAAAAAATATCTACAACATTATTGATTATATTCCCCAGACTGTCTTTTCTATCCCTGTGGCCAGATTGTAGTTACCAATTTGTGTTGTCTCGTCCCTTCCCCTTCTCCTTCATCCCCACCTCCTCCCAACTAGCAACCTCAGTTTTTCCTCTGTCTCTGAGACTACTTCTGTTTACATTTTTCATTTTTTTAAGTAGTTTTGCTCTGAAAGGGAATAAATGAATGGGATAGTTCATTTGGTCGTAAGATTCTGAAGTATATAAGAAAATGTTCCATTTTTTAGAAAGAGCTTGAGAAAAATGTATTCGCATGGGCTTTTCAAGAAAAAAGACGGGCAAGTAAATTAGAGGGTAACTGACTCTAAAAAAATACCACCCGTACAACAGCCTGTATGTGTGGCAGCCTTTCAGTGTCTAAAACAAAATGCTAAACTGCATTTCAGTAAAAGCAGTTTAACTAGGATTAAAGCAGAGCTCTAATCTTTACTTCTTTTTCTTTAAATTCTATTTACCCTTCAAGGCCCAAGGTGGTGCTCTATGAAACGTTCCTGTTTTAGCCCTTGCTGAACTCATATAGCATCTCTTATTAGAACCATGGAATTGACAACATGCTACTAGTCCTTTTGTTTTTGCCCAGAAATGATTCATGTGGGTTAGCTCTCTCTTCCCGTCGACGTTAGAATCCCCATGAGCACAGGATCCATGCGCGTCTGCCGGCCCATCATATTGAATAAACGCTTTCTGATCAGTTCACAACATTGCTAACCTCCCCCCTCGTCCCGCTCCTGAGAGTGGGCTGAGTGCCTAAGACACAGGGATGCCTACCTGAGGCTTCTCCACAGTGTGTCTTTGTCAAACACCTTCTTGTCTTCACGAGGCCTGTGGGTGTTTTCTTGGCTTTGCTTTGGTAGAGCCCAGTGCCAGAGGAGGAGCATGAGAGCCCCCGCGCTGAAACGCCCAGCACGGTCACCGAGGTGGACATGGATCTGGACAGCTATCAGATAGCCCTGGAGGAAGTGCTCACCTGGCTGCTTTCTGCCGAGGACACTTTCCAGGAGCAGGATGACATTTCTGATGATGTTGAAGAAGTCAAAGACCAGTTTGCCACCCATGAAGTGAGTCACCTATAGCTGATGAGCAGGGTCTACCTGTCATGGTGCCTGTGCCTTTATCGGAGGCTCTACCCTGATGGTTATTGTTTTCTCAATTCTGCTCCACATGGCATATTTTAGGACTTGTGATACTGAAATAGGGCTTTGTTATAAAGTTGGCGTGGGTGGTTAACTGTGCATTGGAATTAGATTTCAGATTTTAATCTTATCGTGACTTGTATATTCTGTGGAGCCACTGACAAAAGCCAGTGCACAGCACTGCTTGTTTCTGAAGTGTATTGTTATAGTTAAAACACAAAACCGCTAATCAGTACGCCAAATCTTTATATTTTGAATGTTCCCCAGGACGTGATTATTTTTATTTGTTGTATGATTAAGCCGATGTTATATCCAGTGTTCCTGTATAATTTTATATAATGAAAATTTCCTACTAGTTCAAGGATGTATTATATTACTGTGTAGTGATTTGATTATATGGAGATTTTTTTTTTATTAAGTAATTTTTTTTGTGACCTGTTAATTGATAGGTTTTATTTGCTGTTCTGGTTTGAAAATAATAAAAATTATATTTTTTAAGCAGTTCTTCTTGGGTGAGCATGGTGTATTTATTATGTTTTCTCATAATTTCATGTTCACAATCTCTCAGCAGTATAATCAGCATTTACTTCAAAATAACTGGTATTATCAAACGTACTATTGTCCTCTTTGATTTATTCCCTTTTATACAGCTGCTTATTTCCTATAGTCAGAGCTTAAAAAGTTGCATCGAAGTCCATATTATTTGCACTCTACATAGCTACCTTTTCCCGTAGCTTTGATACGTAGCCATTAACATTTTATTAAATTTTTTTCTTTTTTTTTTTCAATGATCAACTCACACATTATTATGATGTCCCTTTCTAGGCTTTTATGATGGAGCTGACTGCACACCAGAGTAGCGTAGGGAGTGTCCTGCAGGCAGGAAACCAGCTGATAACACAAGGCACTCTGTCAGATGAGGAGGAGTTTGAGATTCAGGAACAGATGACCCTGCTGAATGCGAGATGGGAGGCCCTGAGGGTGGAGAGTATGGACAGACAGTCCCGGTGAGTGGAAGCAGAGACATTAACACTGAATTTCCTAGACTGCATTGCCCAGTTTAGCGCGAGTAACAGTCTGCATGCTTACGAACGTGAGATAATTACAGAACTTGTTTTGTAAAATGTTGATGATTTTTGTCATGTTACTGGAATTTTGTATGATTTTTGTTTCTCCTTTGATGTGTTTACTAAGTTAAAAGGTAAAAGTGGAGAGTACAGAAATGAGCAAAAAAGGGAAAAGGCATTTCCTATGGACAGTTATTGATCTGCAGTATTAAAATTGGCTTACCATTAACTCAATATGAAGACAGGACTATGTAGTATTTATCTACAATTCCATTCTGTGACATTTTTTTTAAGCGTTTTCCCCTCCATGGTTCATTTTCTCTCCTACATTGTGTTTTGAGGAGCAAACTGCATTCCATTGCAATTTCCACCTATTTAATAAGCAGGAATTCCTGATTGAAAAAACAATGATTCTGATATGAATACAGGGCGCTGTTATTTGCATTCTTTGAATGCATTTAATTGACTCCACTTAGGAGGAAAATAAAAGCTTTTTGCTTGTTTGTCTATTTAAAAACTAAATGCTACTTTAAATGACTAGGCAGGAATGTGTTTCATTGCCCCATTTGTTGGCTGCTGGGAGTGTGTATATGCCTTTGCAAAGGGGAAAAGCCAGTGGGACTAAAGCTGTGCTCCTCCCCGGACAGGCTGCATGACGTGCTGATGGAACTGCAGAAGCAGCAACTGCAACAGCTCTCTGCCTGGTTAACACTCACCGAAGAGCGCATTCAAAAGATGGAAACTTGCCCCCTGGATGATGATTTAAAATCTCTACAAAAGCTGCTAGAAGAACATAAAGTAAATCTGGCTCATATTTCTTTTATACCTAATCAAATATGAAAAAGGAGCTCTTAGCATTCTCAGGGGCTGATGGCTTTTATCATTAGCACACAGGTGGGACTCTTCGAAGACGTTGTCTTTCATTCAGCAGCTTAGAGGGTGGAGTCCATGGGGATGTGAATTCTCTGGGAGGAAAGCACAGGTTAACTATTCCATGGCTATGTATAATTTTCTTAGGAACGTACACAGCTTTTCTAAGAGTCTCAAGGGTTGTTTTGGACCTATGAGTGGCTAAGAAGCCTGGTGTGTTAGCATTGATGTAGTCTGTGGGTAAAGAAGCAAACCCTCAGATTTATCTGACCTAATCCTTTAAGGAAAGCACTGCTTCTCCTTTGAGCTAGGAAAGTACCGGGCACTAGGTGAAGAATCAAAATTTGGCAGACAGTTTAATTTGGCCACAAATTTAGATGATGACTTTTCATAGTCAAAGAAAGGTGGAGTAAATAGCCTCTCTGCAAGTTGTTTGAAGAATTTTATTTTTCAGGGAAACACCTAGATAACTCATAAATAGAACTGTAGGGTTATTTAAACACTACTCAAGAGGCATTTGACAGCACTGTTGGTAGTGTTTGAATAAATTACTATATACATACGTCTTAGGACTTGCCATGCTTTTCCCACAGAAAATGTGGGAATGGAAGGTACCTGTGTATCTTTAATTGCTTTCCTGGGCAGCTAATCAGAATAGCATCTGACTATTAAATAGCATCTATTTATCTCTCACTTTATACCATACTTCCCTAGAGAAAATGACCTCTGATTCCGTATAGTTAAATTTGGGACTTCTTTGATTTACAAATTCTACATTCTTATCTTTATTTCTAGTATAGACCCTCAACTTGTTTATGCTACATTTTTGTTGTTGTTGTTATCAGAACTTGGAATAAAAGTAATGACATCCCTTTTGCAATCATTCTGACGTTGCATTTTCAAACTGCTTTGGTTCATAATGAAATGTAAATATGTATAACGGGCTTTTTTCATTAGTAGAACACTTAGGGTAATGATTGGAAATTTAAACACGATGCCTCATTAAGTGTCCTTAATTACTATTGACAATTGAGTGGATTTTATATAGGCAAATGTGAAAGAGTAGAAATAATGGTATATCCCAATTTTTTTTTTCCCCTAGAGTTTGCAAAATGATCTTGAGGCTGAACAGGTGAAGGTAAATTCATTAACTCACATGGTGGTAATTGTTGATGAAAACAGTGGTGAGAGTGCTACAGCTGTTCTAGAAGATCAGTTACAGGTAAGGACCCAGAAAAGGAGGGTGATCCCAAGGCCCCTGTGGTCCCAGGCCCCATTTCATGTTGGCCTTATTCTTCATGTCCTGTCTCACTGTTTATTTAGAAGAGGAGAAGAACCTACTTTAGGTTGTACTTCCCAGTTGGGGTTTCCCAGCCTATGAGTTACAGGCAGACCTTGATATCATTCCTTTACTTCAGCCCTTGGGGGAGTGGGCGGGGCTGCTTGTGGTCCTTGGTCCTTGTGGGTAATATTAACGAGACTAGGAAGCACAGGAACTGATCTCAACAAGTGGTCCACAGGCTTCTTGCTCAGAGTCAGTTGAGGGATTTGTTAACATGTAGATTCCTGGGCTCCACGCAGACCTGAATTCCTGGGAGTGGGGCCCAGTGGATCTGCCCTTTAAAAAAATGTACATGCGTATTTAAGTTTGAGAATTTCAGCCATGTAGGGTTTAATATCCCTGTGTCTTTGGTAGATCGATGTGTGAATTTCAACAACAGTTTTGGGAACCCCAACAAATTGCTCCTTTTTGCATAAAGGCGATAGTGTGTCTTTATAAGCACTTATGAGGAGATTTATTGGTATTTCATTTGAACAATACTTGAATTACCAGATATGATGTTGCTGGTTTATGATTTTTAGTAGCTTCCAGAATATAATTTCATCACATGAAATTATATCATCATTTGTATCATCATGTAAAGTGGGCCAGTGGTTCTGAGACTTTGGTGCAGAAGAACTTTGTTATTACAGTAATCTGAGAGGTAGGCATTCATGTCTAGCTGATTTAACAGTGAGGAAACTGAAATTCAGAGAAGTGAAGTGATGCCCGTGAGATCTAAATAGACCGTGAGTTTTCATGCTGAGACTGGAGAGCTGCCTTTTGGCTGTAAGTTTCCTACCCTTTGCACTGTACAAAGCTTTCTCTGGTATTAAATACTAAAGGAGGATAATATGAATTAAATAATTCTTGTTCATAGTAAGTAGTGTAGAAATAAAATTTAACATTTGTTCATCATTATTTTATACAAGGGTAATAAAATAATTTGTTGGGAAAGTCATCATGAAGAATGATTTTTTAAAAATTTAATCAAATTTATTTAGTATTGCTAAACTTGTAATAGTTTGTTGCTAAGCTTTGTGGATTTTTCTATGGATCATGCAATATAAACAGAACAAATCACTTAAGTATATTTTTTAATAGGAATTCTCTCATTCAAAACATAGTCCTTATAAAGTTAAAATTTTTTTTCTACTTTTTGTACTACAGAAGAAAATTTCTTGACATGTAAAAGATGGTTAAGAAATTATTGATGCTATGAATTTTGCTATAAAGGTAATTATAGTTTGAAACAAATTGAAACACAGAAAGTAGATATGTTTGCTCTACTTTGAAGATATATGTAAAAATGTCAAATTCTCAAATAAAAACCACAGTAAAATAAAGGAGCAGGAATTTGGAGTCAAAAGTTATAGGATAGAGTTCTAGCTGTGCCACTTTCTAGCCATGTACTATAAAATAATTAGTTACATTCTATGGGAATTAGTTTTTATCATCTTTAAATTTACAAAATTTGTCCATATCATTTTAAACAACTTTTATAAAATACATATTTTTATAAATTGCTACTCTATAAAAGAGAACAATGGATATCAAGAATTTAAGGATCACGATAACTATCTCTTAAGGCTCTGTTGACACAGGATGGTGTTTCTCCCTTTTGTAGAAACTCGGTGAACGTTGGACAGCAGTGTGCCGATGGACTGAAGAACGCTGGAATAGGTTACAAGAAATCAATATATTGTGGCAGGAATTACTGGAAGAACAGGTATGAAACTGTTATCCATAGTGGTCAAAACAGATGGTGAAAAGTAACTCATCTTTAATGATGGCATTAGAAATAGGATCTTGTTTACTTTTCTTCTAAAGGAACAGTTACAAATATTTGTAATTTTTAAAGTTAGATTTGTATCCATTTTATCCTGAAGCTATACAGAGAGATTGTATTATATGGCTCCATGGTAATAACAATTTGACCTGTGTTTATTATTTAGAATGTTAGTATTTAGATGTGCTACTTTCAGGATTTGCTTGACATAATTTTCACTGCATTTGTATTGGGTGATATATTTGAACTTGTATCAACACTGTGCCTAGCATATGGTTTGTGCCCAGTAAATAAACAGATCCACTCAATACTTTGTGAACTTTGAATCACAAGAATTTTTATTGATTTTTAACCAGACTACTGAAATTAAGTAGAAAATGTTATTTAGCAATGCCATTGATTTAACATTTGCTTAATAGTATCTTTTTTCCACTAAGGATTACCACAGCAAATGAACCTTTGGCGCAAAGCTGGCACCTTAAGTTTTTAGTCAGAGTGGTGGCCCTTTGCCCACCTCCATCCTTTCAGAAAAACAGCCATCAAAACAGAATGCAAATAAGCAAAACTTTTCTTTCAAACACTTGTGGTTTAGAAAATAAGCAGATACTCTATTCACATTTCTCTGTGTCCATTTTGATTCTTTTAAATGCATTTCATTTCCACCCACAAAAAGCAACTATATTCTTTTTAGAGTATAAAAATGAGTGTATGATGTTTTGTGGTTTATTAAATGTGGTGGAAGAGAGAACATCTTAAAAAGCAGACTACAAAATTTGTCCCAATGTAAATTGTTAATCACTACCCCCTCCCCCCAATCATTGGTCAGAATTTTCCTACTGAGAATCAACTTAATGGACCTGATTCTGATTTCTGGAATATTTACATTTCACTTTACAAATATTTACATTTACTTAAACCCTTGTATTCAGGTCAATGAGTCACATCGAATAGATAAAATTTTACTTCCATAATGACAGTAGGAGACAATGATTGCCAGAGAAAATTATTGTGTTACTCTTATACTAAGTAAACTAATTTAACATTTAGAAAGAATTTTAATTTGGTAGTTAAAAACATTTAAAAATAGGGAGTGGCTAGCATTTTGGCCCATATTTTTTGTTAAAAACTGACCTTTCAATGGCTTTCTGCTGATAAATGGAAGGAGGAATCTTGTGAAAAAGCAGAATTGAAGCCAACATGGGTGCTTAATCTAGAGACAATTTGCTGTTGCAGGCAATGAGACCAAATCAACTGTATCTGAATTAGAAAACCTTTCAAGGATTATTGTGCACTCAGTTACAGAGGCTTTAAGATGGTTAGAAATGGGCTCTGAGAATTAGTCCCAAACTTCTGCAGCACAGGCCAATTTCAAGTGCGGCATGGAGGATATTCTGTAAAGGACTCCAGCTTACCTTTCCCACCTTAGTTTTCCCTCTGTCCTTCCATGTTCCCAGTGCTGAAACCTGGAATTCCCAGTTTGTAGGCCATTCCTAGACTGCTAACACCACCAGAGTAATTGGTGTTAGTTCTTTTTCACTGCTGTGTCCCAATGCATGGCACCTTGTAGATGCCTCATGGTTTTTGTTTTCATTTTTTGAAAGAATGAATGTGTTTCATGTGTTTTCTAGCTTCTGTTTTTGTTTAAGGTGTGGCATCTGACACGGAATGCCTCTAAACTCATCTCTTCATCTTTAAGTTCTCCCCAGCCGCCAAGGACCATGAAATTATCTCTAAAACCCCTCTCTCTCCCCCTATTTCTAAACTGGAGGTAACCTCTTCTGTGGTGTCTGCACTTTCTATCTTGTGCCATAGTTATTCCTGTGCATATCTTACTACATTTGAGGGAAGGATCCGTATTTGTCTTTTATGTTCTTAATCTTCGTGTGTGTGTGTAATATACAGGCAGGGAATAGTTGTTAAATAAACTGATAAAAAAAAAAAACAGTAAGAGAAATCATTGATTCCATTGCAAGCATAGAACCAAGTCCCCCCCTCCCCCCCTGCTCTATAGAAAAGGGTTTCTGTGGTAGACACTACATTTTGGGAAGAAGTATCCCAATGCAGCTATGTTGTTTCCACCCCTGCTTCTAGTTTATCTCTCTATGTTACTAAATGTCGTCTTGCCTAAAAGCAGAGCGTATATTGTTGGCCAGTGAAGTCTGAATATCTTTATGTTGGTTTTGGACTTTCCTCAAACTTCCTCCTCTAACCATAATTGCTGTTGAACCTGAGCATTTGTGTGGTTTTCCTGCACGATGCTGCAAAAAACCATTGGCTTTGGGGTGTGGGTTTTTGATCTGGCTCTTCTATTAACTAGCCTCGGGGTTTTGGCCACGTGACTTGGCTTCTCTCTGTTTCCTCCCTAAAATGAGGGGCTGAGACAAGACAGTCTCTGAGCTACCTTCTGCTTCCAGAGCGAAAGGTCCATACAGTGGGACTCTTTTAGAAACTTGAATAGCTGGGTTTAGCCTTTCAGACCCACCTACTCCCTGAGAATTCGGTTTAGTTATCCAGGTGTGATGCTTATTTCAAGTTGATCTGTTCCAAATCTGAGAAGGATAATATCTGAAAATAAGAGGTCTTTCTGTGTCATTCATGCCTCAGGCTTAGCTATTGAAGCCCTTTTTACCCAAGATAAGGATGAAGCCTCTAACAACATAAAAGTTAGAGATTTGGGAACTCGATTGAATTGATTTACCAAATTATTCCCCAAATATATTTCTAACTTTTATTATTATTTGTAGTGCTTGTTGAAAGCTTGGCTAACTGAAAAAGAAGAAGCTTTAAATAAAGTCCAGACGAGCAACTTCAGAGACCAGAAGGAGCTAAGTGTCAGTGTTCGGCGACTGGCTGTAAGTGATGTCATTGTCAGCATCTGTCTTGTAAGCTTATGACATTTTAGCGTTTGATAGCAATGGTTAATACAATTTTGTAAGTACAGATTAAGACTCATTACCCGGCATTGGACTGCTGCCATGTAATGGTCTAGAACCAGGAGCCTTGCATTTTAGCTCTAGTGAATTTCAAAGCAGGTAGATTTTACTATAAAACATACATATTTACATTTCCTGACTGGGGAATAGGAAGATAAATTCCTGTAAAAGGGAGTTATATAATAAGTATCTGAACTACTAGATTTTGAAGGAAGACATGGAAATGAAACGTCAAGCATTGGATCAGCTGAGTGAGATTGGCCAGGATGTGGGTCAATTACTTGATAATCCTAAAGCGTCTAGGAAGATCAACAGCGACTCCGAGGAACTGACTCAGAGGTGGGATTCTCTTGTCCAGAGACTAGAAGATTCCTCCAACCAGGTACTTTTTGCTGTGGATAATTTGTTATGCCCCTAAGTAGAAGTTAAGTATTCAGGTTAGTTTTAGTTTTTATGGAACAAAAGAGTAGTAGCTAAACTAAAAAGTTGGTTCCTCATGTCGGGTTTACTATAAAATTGTAAACACTGACATGTGAAAATCTTTAGTTTTCTAAAGTAAATTCTAATAGATTTTCAAAGAACTGATTCATATCCAGTAATTTAACCCTTAGTAACTGATAACAGCTAGACATGAATCCATTAATGATCTTTAAATCTTAAATAATCTTATTAATTTAAATGTATTTTAATGAATTGGTCAAAAATAAAAGTTGGCTTTGTACATGAATGAGCATTATTCATGATAGACAAAAAATGAAACACCTCAAATGTCCATTAATAGATGGATGGATAAACAAAATGGTATATCTATGCAGTGGAATATTTTTGGCAATGAAATAAAGTACTGATACATGCTGTAACATGGGTGCCCTTTGACAACATTACGTTAAGTAAAAACAGCCAGTGACAAGAGCATATGCACTGATTCTATCTGTATCAACTATCCAGAGTAGGAAAATTCCTAGAAACAGAAAGTAGATTAGTGGTTGCCAGGAGCCAAGAGGGAGAGGAGGATGAAAAGTGACTATTAAAGGGTACGGGATTTGTTTTTGGGATGATAAAGCTCTTCTGGAATTAGAAAGTGGGCAGGGTTTCACAACTGTGTGGATATACTAGTAACCACTGAACTGTCCATTTTCAAAGGGAGAATTTTCTGGCACATGAATTATATCTCAGTAAGGCTGTAATAAAGCATTAAACCTTTGGCTGATTTTATTTCAGGTGACTCAGGCTGTCGCCAAGCTGGGGATGTCCCAGATTCCTCAGAAGGACCTTTTGGAGACTGTTCGCATAAGAGAACAAGTAACTACAAAAAGGTCTAAGCAAGAGCTGCCTCCTCCTCCTCCGCCAAAGAAGAGACAGATCCCTGTGGATCTGGAAGCTAAGAAAAAGTGAGAGCAGACAAAGAAACTTTCCAAACCCAATACCGCACACAGTGTATTTTGTGCTCAGTGCTTATTTCGTACTAATCACTAATCATATGCAAATTTAGGCATAATTATTGTTATGGAAATTCAGCTACCGAACCACTCATGAACCCTAAGTCTTTTGAATATTCTGCTTCACACAGGCTAAGCAGCTACATTGTCTCAGATGGTTGTATTTATCCTGTGTTCAGCTTGAGCTGTGTGCCCAAACCCTTTTTTCTTCCTTGCCTGTCATTTACCTTGGATATGATTGTCCATGATTCCTCATTTATTCTTTATTTATCATACTTCTGACAGTTTTGTTTTAGATACATCTCCTTATTGTTTGCGCATCCCCTCCCTCTTCTCACAGTCAAAAAATAATTCAGGGAAGGAATTCCTTTTGAAGTCTTTTTTTCTTCCTTTCCCCACCTTATTCTTTTTTTCATGTTTTCTTTCTTTTGTTAACTCTTTGCCAGATTCATTAACAGATTCTTCATGTTTTGCTTAAAGGTCCATCTTTGGCATAAAATATCTTTTCAATCTTATTGATTCAAAGTAAACTTGGGATCTTTAGAAGAGGGATAATCACACCTGGCATATACCGGGGTTGCCAAAAAAATGCATACACGTGACTTGTCTTCATCTTTTGTTTTCGGTATATACTGACTATTACAATTTTAATACTTTTTTTTTCTTTCTGAAAATGTGTATACATTTTTTGGCACCCTCTGTATTGATTGAGCTTTTACTAATGTCAGATACTCTGTTAAGCTATGCTGTGCCCCAGGTACTGTATCTCATAGGTGTTACAGCAGTGAACCCTCAAAACAGCCCTCGAGTAGTGATATTATTCTTTCCCTTTCACAGCAGAACCCCAGTGCTTGGGTAAATGGGCAGTTAACTTTGCCTGAATCAAAATGATGTGACTTCCCCAGTTTCGCTTTTGCTAGACGAAGCAGGAGTCCAATTTGACCAGATGATTTTCATTTAAATCATAGGGCTTCTCATTCTCCTGGGGGACCAGTGTACCTTTGACTTACAGGCAGCCGCTGTGGAACTTTTACTTTTGGGGCCAAGGCAGCAGATGAGGAAGAGGCTTCTGATGTTAATAGTAGCATAGACCTTTCATTTCCTGAGTGTTTGTCTTCTCCCGGCCATAGCTGGCAGTGTCTCTCCAGTGCTGACTTTGTGCAGGTGGGAAGCAGGAAAGGTTGGGAAAGGCTAGGGTGTATATGTATGTTCTGGTACAATTCTAATGTATGTGTGTGGAGGGTTCCCGCACCAACAAGCAATTCTTGGGATACCAGCTGGCTGTCCTGAAATTCAGTTCAATTCTGACACTTATCTACTGGAAGACAGTATCAGATTCCACAGGTTAAGTGCTCAGTCCTACAAGACTTCTCCCTACCCTTCAGATGACAGTCTCAACCCTCGGTTGTAACCTGTGCTTCTGACCGGCTGGCCATAGATTGGAGGTTCCCACAACCTCCTCCTCAGGTTCAATTAACTTCCTAGAGATGTTCACTGAACTCAGAGAAACATCTACTTACTAGATTCCACTTGTTTATTCTAAAAGGATATAACCCAGGAACAGCCGGATGGAAGAGACGCACAGGGCAAGGCACGGGGAAGGGACGCACAGCTCCCATGCCATCTCCGAGCAGGCCACTCGCCTAGAACCTCTAACCCCAAGTTCTCTTCACTGAGTGGGACCCTCTCTGAACCCTGTCCTTTTGGGATTTTGTGGAGGCTTCAACACTTAGCTACGATTGGCTAAATCATTGACCACTGGCAATTGATTCAACTTCCAGCCTCTCCCCTCTCCCTAGAGAACTGAAAGTTCCAACCCTCTAATCTCTGTGGTTTGGGTCTCTTAGCAACCAGCCCCCATCTTTAGGTGGGGGGGGGTGTCTAAAAAGTCACCTCATTAACATAACAAAAGACAACTCTATAGCTGTCTTAGTCCACATCTCTGGCCCAAAGCTCCTAAAACTCTTGGAATTTCCTCAAACCAAGTACCTGCTTCTTATTATAAATCACAGGATCCCAGTGCATAACTCTAAAATCTTAGACATATAAGGTGCATTCTCTGCTGCAAAAAACAGAATCCTGAACCCAAAGTGACTTAGTGGGGTCACTGATTGTCTCCCATTATAAGAAGTCCACAGGTAGGGCAGTTTTAATGGGAGGGGGTGGTTCCACATCCTGCCACCTTGCGTCTGCCTTGCTCAGCATGGTGGCTTTCACCCACCTTGTGTCTGCCTTGCTCAGCATGGTGGCTTTCACCTCAGGCTTGTCTTCTCGTGGTCCTGCGATGCTGCAGCAGTGCTGGGCCTCACATCATTGTATAACCTGCTTTATGGACAGGAAGGGCAGTTTTTCCTTATTTGTCTGGTTTTCGATCAGGGAGAAAGACCTTTCCTGGAAGACGGCAGCTGACGTCCCCTCAGGTCTCATTGGCCAGGACTAAGTCACTCGCCCATGCTATGGGTGCATGGGAGGTGAAGCTGTCCTGCCTTTAGTCTCTGGAGTTGTGTTTTGGGGAACTTGGATAGCAAAAAAGAAGTGTGGGGAGGGAGGTGTCTGTTGGGTGGGCAACCAGCTGTGAGGACCACAGTCTTCTAGTCTACAAGCTGATTGATGCAGAAATTCCTTCATTTTGTTCCTGGACAAACAGGCTTGAGTATGTCCAGTTCATGATGAGAGAAGGCAGTGAAATCTCATTATTAGAAATTATGCCCAGACAAAGTGAGCCCTATCTCAGTCTACCCATGTGTGCTGGTTCTGCTTTCTGGGGCAAGATGGAGCCATGCCACCCCTTTTCAAAATGGTACCTAGTTAGTATTTGAGGATAAGTTTCATATTACAATTTCTGTTTTTCTGTCTAAAAGTCCAGAGTATCCTCAACCATTCGTAGTGTGACATGGTTTCCAGACCCTTAGAAACCACTATTAACTAGTCTTAAAACGAGCTGTCCAAGCAGCTGTGAGCCTGAACTAACTGGTTAGCACAGCTTCCAATACATGCTTCAGAAATGGCGGTTTATCTCCACTTCTCTTCTCTTGGTGCTGCTCGTGGCCGTTTTGACCACCCCGGGGACAGCCATTTCCTGTCACCTGAATATTGTGTTATTGTGACCTGAGATCATGCATGCTCTGTATGTAGCTTTCACATTGCTCTGCTCATATCGAGGGCAGGAATACACAAAGTCTCCAAGGTCATTTGAAATGTGTGATCTTTGGATGGTGCTCCTCTTCTTTGAAAGATTAAATAGAAACCTGCTGTTGCGATGATAGGAGAGGTGTACCACTGTTTAAATGGCATCTCGACCCCTGGTTATTTACCTAGAGTGTCACAAAATCCCTTATAAGTTACAAGGAAAATTTTCCTTGATGAAAAAACAAATACCAAGGGTGCCAAAAGAAGGTACACATTTTAAGAGATGTTATCTATGTATTACTTTTCGAAGTTGAATTACAGTAGCAATGTGTGGTATGACGTTCGCTCAAAAGATGGAATTAATCAAATGAATGCTAGCGTCATTCATTATATTACAACTTTCGTACAGTTTTTCCTTTCTTAAAATGTGTATACATTTTTTTGGCACCCTCTGTATTCATAGCTCATAAGAACACTTTAAGCTACATTTCCCAAAAGAATCAGCAACGACAACCGACAACCTGTGCTTCCCTTAAAGTACCTGAACATATCCAGAAGTTGTTTCGAGAAGCCCAGTGAGTAGAGTGCTGGTTAAGAGGACAGACTGTCTCGGTTTGAATCCCAGCTCTACAGTTTATTAACTTTGTGGCCTGAGTCAGTTCTTTAAAACCTCCCTCATTTCCTTCATCATTAAAAGGGATAATAGGAGTCTATATTTCATAGGGTTGTTGTGAGGACGCCCTGAGTTAAGAATTCCCATAAAACACTTAGAATATGGCCAGCAATCGGAACATTTCTCTTCTTGTTCCTTGTCACCGTGGTTTTGACCGATCTTCTCAACACCTCTCGGGTCTGCCCACCTCTCTTGTTTCCCGCTGTCACTTTTAGCTGTGGCTCCATTACTACCACAGCCTTTTCTGTGGTCTTGCCTCTCCTCATTCTTCTTAGTGAGCATTAAGGGATGAATATAATCATATCAGTCCTGTACTGTAAAACAAACCCTTCACCGGCTCTCAGTTGCCCTTTGGTTACGCCCCAACCCTTTACTCTATTCTGCAGGGCCTTCCACTACCTGTGAGTGTGACTGTCGGCCACATTGTCAGTGGTTCCCTCCCTGGTTGCTACTCACTATGCCAGCCACACCTAACTACTTGTAGTGTACAAGTGTGTCCGTTCCTTTCTTTGTACTCCCTTTTCAGGGAAAGCTCCTGGCATAATGCTGTTGTTCTACTCCAGGAAGCCATCCCCTCGATTGGATTAGGAGCCATCCTGAGAATTCCTGGAATTAGCAGCTAGCAAATTTTTATTGTTATTCCCCTTTACTTCCCATTGCCTTACTAGACTGGAAGCCCCCTGAGGGCTGGCAGTGTATCTGAATTACCTTCATGTCAAGAGCCCAGACCAGTGCCTGAATATACTGGGCTCTACTTGAAAACATGTTGAATTAAAGAAGTCATTAAATTTAGACTGTCCGTACTTCTTTTCTGTTATTATCTGACCAAATCTGTTTTTCATAATCTACAAGAGTTAATAAAAGTACAAGTGATTTCTTATAAAGTTTTAAAAACTTTTAATTATTAGGTTATCGGAAAAGTCATGACGTATTTTTCCTATGTTTTTCGTTGTAAAAATGTGTCATGACTTTTCCGACAACCCAATATTTTCTTTATTTGTTAGCATTACAATATTACTCCACTTTTAATACTTTTAATTGTAAATGTATAATATTATTTTGTGTGGTTTCTGTATTTCTGGGTTGCCTTTTGTTGTTTTATTTTTTGACATGCTCGGTGGGTGTTTAGGTTGCTTCCTTTCTTGAGCCAAATGAAACGATGAAAGACAATGAATTACAAATGGTAACATCTGAATCTTCCATCAGGTTTGATGCTGTAAGTGCAGAGCTGTTGGACTGGATTTTGAAATCAAAGACCACCATTCAGGACACAGAAATAAAAGAATATAAGAAGATGCAAGAGACATCAGAAATGAAAAAGAAGTTGAAGGTAAAAACATAAAACAAAAGTATACTTGTGAATAAAATATTTCATCAGGATAGATTTGCTGTTGGCATAAAGATGTGATAGGATCCAAACTCATTCTGTAAAATAAATGAGACCATAATGTAGCTTTTAGAACAGTGTAGTCAATTTTGAATTGATTTGGGCTGGCTGGTATCAGATCCCCGTGTGGAGGAGGAATTTTTTTCCCTTCCTTACTTAACCACTGAGATGTGTAGGAAGGAACATTTCCTAAGGTGATACAGGTATTTCTGTTTTTAGCTTGATTCGATTCTAGTCTGGCACCTAGATAATAATTTATCTGGCACATAAATAATAATTTATGACTGTGTATGCAGATGTTTTGCTTTCTGAATACAACAAACTACAGTCATCCTCCCCTATTCGCAGTTATCAATGATCAACCCCGGTCCAAAAATATTAAACGGAAAGTTCCAGAAATAAACAATTCATAAGTTTTCAGTTGTGTGCCAGTCTGAGGAGCATGATGGAATCTCGTGCTCTGTCCTGCGTGGGACATGAATGGTCCCTTTGTCCAGCATCTCCACGCTGTGCAGGCTCCTGCCTGCTAGTCACTTACTAGCTGTCTTGGCTATCAGCTCGATTGTCCAGGTATCTCAGTGCTTGTGTTCAGGTAACCCTTATTTTACTCAGTGATGGCCCCAGGCACAAGACTAGCGATGGTGATTCGGATATACCAGAGAGAAGCTATAAAGTGCTTCCTTTAAGTGAAAAGGTTAGTAGAGCACAATAAGATATTTTGAGAGAGAGAGAGAGAGAGAGAGAGAGAGAGAGAGAGAGAGAGAGAGAGAGAGAGAGACCGAGACCACATTCACACAAATTTTATTACAGTATATTGCTATAATTGTTCTATTTTATTATTATTTGTTATTAATCATTTTATGGTGCCTACTTTATGAATTAAATTTTATATTAGGTATGAATGTATAGGAAAAATCATATATAGGGTTGGTACTACCCATGGTTTCAGGCATCCACTAGGAGTCTTGGCACATACCTCCCAAGGACAAGGGAGGACCACTTTATTTCAAATTTCAACATTTCTTCAACATAGTCTCTTAAGAGAAGAAACAGCTTTTAAAAATAAATACTAGTGAAATGTGTGGGAGCTTAGCTCTGCTGCTTTGTACCCATCTGTGTATTCCTGAACATTGTGACAGGAGATTGTAGTGATTTATGTCCTTGGTGCTCATTAAGTCTCTGTACATCGTTTCATGAGCTATTTGGGCATCTAGAGCAAGTCTGTATTGCCGTCTACATCAGCAATGGAGTTCGTCTGTAAAGAGTTTGGGGAATGTTTAAAAACCAGGATATGTTTAAGTTTTGCTGATGTAAGTGAGAAAGTGGTGGGCACCATGGAAATTGAGAGGAGGCCAGGCTTGCAGTCGTTTCTGTGCACTGGTCAAGTCCATGGGCGAGGTGACATTGAGCTGGAACGGAGGAGGGTGATTACACCTGGGTGGGAGGGCACACCAGGCAAGGGGCACCCCTGAGCAGAGGCACAGAGGGCGCGAGTGTGTTGACATCTTCGGAGCAATACTTAGTTGTGTTTTCTGCCAGCTGTGTGTGTACAAGCAGCAGAGAGTTCAGGTTGGGGTGAGACCCTGGCTGACTTCACATGACGGAATGAGAAGTTGAGACTGAGTCCTGCCTTACCATTCCATTGTAACTGCTCTGATTTAGAGGTGACCACTGTCTGACTGTTGATTTGTAAATCCAAAGGATGGATTTCTGTTCTCATCACAACTGCTTTCTCTGCAGCGTTTTCCACTGTTTGCCCTTCCTTTCTTAAAATCTCATCGCCCTTGGCTGCTGTGACCAACGACCATTCTGAAATATGATGCTGGCCATGCAGCTCCAGTGCAGTGCTTGCAGTTAATTTAATGGCTTCCCATTGCAAAGGGGATAAAAGGTGAAGGCCATAGTGCCCCGGCATACAGGGGCCTCCAGACGGCACGCTTCCCTTCCTCTAAGCACAGCCTTAGTACCCCTTATTCACCCACCTGAACTCCAGCCCTCCTGACTGCTACTCTTTTCTCGCTCCTTTACCTTCACCACGTGCTGTTTTCCAGAATGGCCCTATATTAAGCCTTTGTGCTTTGTGGCTGAAATGCCCTCTCGTAAGCCTCCCTTGGCCTCATTTGGAAGACTTGTGTGGTTCATGTTGGCTTCCATGTTGCTTTGACCATACCCTCTGGAAAAGCCCTTATTGCGCTGATGTTATTGTTTGTTGATGTGCCTGCTGCAAGTGCTTAGAAGGTGAGGACAATTTTCCCCATTGAACCCTGTATTTTCAGCACTCAGTAAAGTTCTTGGCTTGTGGAAGGAGAGAATGTTGACTGTGGGCAAAGGGAGTGGGGAAAGTTGATAACCTAGGAGCACCATTATCAGAGCCCTTCAGCACAGGGAATTGGGAGAGCAAGAAATGAGGGCTGTGTTTCATCATTTCATCAAGTTCTTACAGTTCTGAAAGATCCATAGATGATATTAATGATCATTTAACAACCCCATTCTCAAAGGCATTAAAGTGGAGAGAATTTGGAAGTTAATGTGATCTTTTTGGAACAAGTCCCACAAAATGTTGATAGGCTAAATTCCACCGTACCATCTAGGAACAATTTGCTTCCAGAAATAGTTACTATAATATGTGAGAGGATAAAAATAACAATTATGTATGCTTGTGTAAAGCATGCCTGACAATTCCTGTATTTTTCCTTTAATATTTATAAGTTCCTTTATTATGTTGTTCTAGGTAAGTAGTAATGCCAAAGGGTTGGAAATAATGTAAAATAGAGAAAATTTAACAGTTGCTTTAATCTCTAATTTTTCTAACAAATTGGGGAAAGATCAACTTAATTTTGTTTTAGTAAAATAATACCTTGTTCCAACTGGTGCAATACCTGCGTGGAGAATCCTTAGTCCAATCTACCACCACCATAAAAAGAGAAAAGAATCATTTTGTATAAAGCAGGTAATAAGTTTTCTCCAGTTTGATGGTGACTATTTTGCATTGGTACTTAGTTTAACAAAAACAAGTGGTGTTTCTTAGACAGTCCTGTTATTCCTTCATCTTTGACTATAAAAATGGTTGTTTTACTTAGTCATATAAACGTTACGACAGCTAAACTTATTTGATAGTGTTTACATGTGTAGACATTCAAAGTGGCATTCTTCTCTGGATTGTCTGGTTGCAGTAATAGGAGTTGCCTAGAAGTGTTGACAGTGCTATTATGGATACTACCTGAGTAATTAATTAATAGATAATTATCAATTGTGGGTTGAAGAGTGGGAAAAATTTCCAATACTGACTGTGCACCTGTGTGTTCCCATGATTTTACTCAGCCCTTTTTTAGAAGTTCTGGAAGTTTTCCCATGTCCCTGAGATAAAGAAACATTGAAAATATCAAACCGTGGAGACATAAATATTAAAATTTAGAGCCACTCCTCATGTGTAAGGAACAAAATATGCTTTACTTTGAATCCTAAAGCATATTGTCATGATTTACAATTTTTATATGAATTATGCTTGTGATTGAAGTTTACAGTAATAAACTCTAGACTTAACATAACACCAACAAAATATACTGAGACTCAAAATATTTCTCTTTTCTTGTTAACTTTTGTTCAGTGATCCCTGTCATAGCCCATTCAGCTCATTTGAATCAACCAGTTATTTTTATGCTGTGGCATATATGGAGGCTATATATGTGAGTCAATAGAATCCTGGGTCTAAAACACTAATTTGATTTATTTCTTCTTGAAAGGAACTCATAATTATGGTGTACAATTTTTTCCTTATAAAAGAAACCAAAGTTGTATATTGTTTCTTTGAATTTACCTGTTAAATTTAATTATCTCTGGTGTTCTGGAGGGTCGCCTGGAATTACATAGTTTTGTGTTGCTATAGTCTCTTGGGTAAACTTGGTGACACCTAAAGACAAAGTGGGAGGAACATTAAACATTAAAATTCAAAATAACGTAAGTGTGACATTAAGAAAGTTTGCAGTGTTTTTATATTGGGATTTTATTTCCAGGGAATAGAAAAAGAACGGACAGAAAGAAGGCCCAGACTGGATGAATTAAACCAAACTGGACAAATCCTCTTGGAACAGATGGGAAAAGGTAAGACCCTTGATTTTTTTTTAAATGTGTTTTTAGATGGTGGCATTTGTATTATTTACAGTTTGACAAATCAAATATATATATTTTCTCACTGTAACCCTCTTTGCTAGGAAAGTGGCTTTCAAAAATTTATTTTGGTAGTAGAATCTTGTTTCAAATGAAATCTTACGCTGAGGCTGACTGTATAAAATGGGTAAAAGCTTTTAGGTAGGGTCAGGAAACCTAAGCGCCTAATACCTCAAGAATTGTTAAAATCCGCTGTAGTAGAAGATTTGAAAATCTCCTCCTTTGGGGTGATAGATTGGGGATTGTTTTGAAGGAGGTTGGCAAAATAAAATTTTACTTTGGCAACAATGGAGACATGAAGTTACGGTAAAAATGAAGTTAAGGTAAATTCTTTAAGGTTATTTGATTTTTGATCACTTATCGTGTACCATATTAACTTGGCACAGGTATTTCTTTATAGTGAAATTTGATAAGATGTTACTTGCATTTGAATGTTTTACCTGCATTTAAGAACTTTTTTTTTTGCCACAGGCCTAGTGACTCAGGGGAGTTCAAAGATTAATGTATTTGCTTTGCAGGTTTGCATATGATTCTATCTTTGGTCTATCTTTGAAAGACATTTCTTGCAAGTCCTACTCCTTATTCCAATGATGATAAGCGTTTTGGAGGTCTATGGCAACACTCCTTGACAAAGCTATAGACCCCCAAAGCTGAGTTAGGAATATTAATTTGGTAAGAATCTTCAAAGGTGTACTTTTCAATCTTTATTATTTTTGTTACAGACAATGTAAATACATACAAAGCAAATAGAATAATATAATGAACCTCCTTGTACCAATGACCCAGCTTCAATGATTAATGATATTCTGCCATTCTTAATTATCTACACCTTTACTCACTCCTCACGCTCTTGATTATCAGTATTTTTACAGTTTCTTTTTTAAGGAAATTTTTTTTTTTTTGCATTGAAATACATGAAATTTAACTGTGCTAGTTTGGCAAACCTACATACACATATCAATATATGAGAGCATTTCCATCTGTCCAGAAAGTTCCCTGGTGTCCCTAATGGATCACTCACCCTCCCCCAACCTCAGAAAAACCACATTTTAAAAAACTTCAAATTATTTTTTTCCTCTGCCTTTCAAACTATGTTGATTTATTTTGTATATAGAGTGGGGTCATACACATATACACAGAAATATGTATGTGTCAAGTGTATGTTCATTTATTTAGAAATTATGGAAATGTACCACTGTCCTAGATTATTTTTTATTTTTTTTTCATTGGGCAATTGGGGGAAGGGGAACAGACAAGTTGCTGTCCTTTTGTTCTTCAGTCTAGTTGTGGAGGACGTTGCTTCACTGGCCCAAGTTGGCACCATCATTGCGCTCTTCCCGGCGAGGCACATCAGTCGCCAGCTTCTGGACTGCCGCTCACTGCGGCTGCTGGCCCCTCACTGGCTACTCACCGTAGCCCATGGCAACTCACTGCAGCAGGGGCTGCAGCCTACCCGTAGCCAGCGACTCATGGCAGCCCAGCTCCAGGTTGAGCTGTTGTTCAGCATCTTAGCTGTAGAGGGCAGTGTCACTGGCCCTCATATGTGGGATCCGAACCGGGGCCCTCTGGCGTCCCAAGCCAGTTCCTAACCATCGCGCCACTGGCTGGCCCACTGTCGTAGATTATTAATACCGACTCTTCTCCCCTCCCCTCCCCTTGCTGAGTGTCTTGGTTACCACCTGTGGGCACCCCCTGTGGAGATTACTCTTTTAAGAATTTACTTGGGGAAGGAAACCTAGAGATACCTGTACAGGAGTTACAGTCAATTGTGTGTTGAATTTAGGTTACTCACTATTGTAGATTCACTTCTCCATCAACACGGCACTGTGGGAATTGGACATGATCTGGTGTGAATGTGGGTGATTTCATGAGCCTGCATAGTGACTTTACCCTCCTTCCTGTGCCTGATGTTAGTCAGTGTGCTAGAATTAGAGCCCTAAGATTGGTGGGGAAGACTACCCAGGGGAGAGGCGATGTCTTGTAGTGAGAAGAGCCGTAAACTGGAAAATGGGAGACCTTGTGGTCTCCTGTCCTCTTCCAGTTTTGTGTCCTTGTCATGTAACCCTTTTGTTTCTTTGCTTCTTTGAGTACAGCTCTTGTTGGATGAAATCTTACTATGAGTAGGCTACCCTAAAATATACACACTGGAAACTGAGCTTATGTGAAAATGCTATTTGAAAAATATCAAGTGCCATCATGGGGAATATACTTGTATGTGGCTTTATGAGGGAATGAATTTTGTGACCTAATTTATGCTTGTTTACTTTCATAAGAAACCTTTTATATTTTGTATTACCATTTTTTTGAGCTTTGCTACGGCTGGAAATGTATTCATTACAGATCCCTAATGCTGTTCATTTTTAAAAAACATCTGTTATTAAAATTTTTTAAGATGGGGTGGGAAGCTATGAAGTGGGGGCACTGTGAAGAATAGGGTCTATATGTTCTGGGTTTAATTTTCTCCTTTTTTGGAGGATGCTTGGTTTTTGTTAGTGAGAGAATAAAAATGGTGTTTTAAAATCTCTCCCACTGTCATCCCATGTTATCCATTATTCTAATTTTACAGTATTTATATGACTTCTCCCCATGTGTTGGTGCTGGTAATCCTACTGCCACTGTAAAACCAGAAATGTTGAACGGAAATGAAGGCACAATTGGGTAATTCTCTCCGTTCCCCTCTCTCCTCCCTTAGAAATTTGAAATAAATCCTAGAACGCTGATTATTAGTATAGAGGACGTTTTTGCGCAGGGTGTAATTTGGCCATAGTCTGCCTAGGTAAGGAGGCAGATAAATTATTTTGTTTAATCAGAAAAACATATCAAACACTTTAGGAAAATCCATGTTCAAATAGTCATGTCACTGGTTTTCTCACACTAGTTCCATAAAAAAATCCCACCACAGTGAAGTCTGATAGGACTTTTCTGGCGAATGCATCTGAATTAGGTTTTATGATATCTCATATAGCATTAAAATGTTTTAAAAATGAAATAATCTGTTTCATTTGAGTGCTGCTCTACCTGATTTTGTTGGTTTCACTTATCTTGTTCCTAGAGATTGTCAACAAATATAATGCAGTAGTTGGGGGTTTGGATGATATAGTTTTGTGAACTGGTGCTCATTATGACGGCAATGTACATAGGTCTGATGATCCCATGTTTTGTAAACATTTTGCTTGATTCCAGTAGTGATTGATTGAAAAGTGTAAAATCAAATGAGAGTGACAGGCTTATGTTATATTTATCCCTGTTAATTAGTAAAATAAAATGATGAACTATTGATTTTTGCTTTTGATTAGTCATCTAAGAGTTAAGGGTTCTATAGAAATAGAAAAGTTATAACTCTGGGTCTCTGGGAGC